GACTTTATTTTATCTTCACGGTGAAAATGGCTACCGAATGCTATTATTGTGTGAAAATTCTCGATTTTATTTTTTACATTTTTAACTTTATAATGCTATGACATATTGAAAAGTGTATGGATCAACATTATTTTTTTATGAGAAATAATATTTTTTAATAATCCCTTTTTCATTCTACATACTTTATCTTAATTAGGATATTAATAATGAACTAGCAGATAATGTAGCTTTTGGAATAGTCCACCAATTTTTTAAAATTAAACAGTATCTAAAGATTTGCATCGAAGCGTTTTTTTTTTATAGTGATTTTAATCACTGTCAGATATCATTATACTTGATCCATCTATACCACGTCACCACTGTGCCGCGACCCCCCTGTGCTGGGTTTTTTTAGTTATTGAAGTTCATAGTTTATTGATTTAAAATGGATTTTTTCGACAGTTTTATTGTTTTATTTACATATAAAACATTATAATTATAATGTTTCCAAGCCCTGTCACTAAGTTAAATTTAAAATATTTATAAAATAAAATGTTCACAGTTGTCACCATGGGATGCTTTTATATGTGAACTTAAGTTTGTATTCAAATTCCATCAATCAATTAAACCTGTGCGACACACTGAAGGCAATAATGAAGCAAATTAAGTTCTTAGAGTGTTACACTGATATTAATTAATTTTAAATTAATTAAAAGAATAAAAATTATTTAAAAAACAGATAAGTTATATTATTACTTAAATATCATGATTGATTTTAAATACGAAAACAATTTGGGCTCCATTTTATCCTTTAATGTAATTATGATCAAATTATCAACCCTTAATAATCATTTATTATACTGAGGTATTTACTGTTATTCTTGACTATATTCCTTTATCTCTGTGTGCAAAAATTCATCTGGAGATATCACTTCGAGAAGTATGATGTTACATCCTAGAACCTATGTTAGTTGCTGAGAAGTACTGGCGATCTTTAATAACCCGCGACCTGTGAAGTCTTTGCATGCGATGTTACAAAACCGAAATTCACGTGACGTTACATTGTGACTTCTTTAGATAATTAAAAATTACACGCATAGACATTATAGATAAGTCTCAGCTATGTCACATATGCGAGTATTTTAAGTACATCGAAAATTAGTTTACATAGATGTCACAAAAAGTAATTGAGTGTGTGTATATATATATATACAGTCAATTTTATGAATTTAATTATACAATTACAATTAATGTATTATTCGCATACAATTTTTTCTCTGTAAAATAAAATTTTTATAAAATGTATGATGATTGGAAGTATGAATCATACCTTATAACATCTAATTGATGTATTTATAGCATCCAAACTAAATAGTTAAAAAAATAATATTAACTGTGTACTTATTCAAAAATGATAAAATGTTTATAATAACTTTATATTATATTGGTAATTGAAAGTTTACAGAATTTGAATGGAATACTTTCAGGATCTAAAAAAACACTATTATATTACCCTGATAACATTTTTGTAATATCAATACTAGTAAAATATTAATATTTCTGTATGCATTCAAAACCACTTAAGAAAATTGGTATTTTGCTTAAGTACAAGAAAATATAAAAAATAAAACTATCCTACAAAGTTAAGAAGTAAACTTACCACTAGGGCTATCATCGCAATTGCTACACTCTGTTTGGTCTTTTTATTTTGGTTAGTGTAGTGTCTGAAGATGTAAATATGTATTTATTTTTATTTTATAGAAGCTTCAGAATAATCATCTTGAACAAAGTATAAATATAAATTAACTTAAATTTTTAAAAATTATCTTAAAACTTATCAAAATACTGAGATACTACTGTGATGGAGTATGTGGGCCAATCATTATCTTGCTTTATAAAATATTTAATCATGTTATTGACAATTTTTTTTGTCCTACTTACAAATACACATTTTTTCGCAGTAAATAATTCGTTTAACTGCTACTATAGAATATATATTTTCCGACGCAAAAAATACAATAGCCCACTTAAAAAATAAAACATAAAATCTAAATAAAAAATTGACTAGTGAATAACCTGCATTTTATTATTACTTTTTTAGTTAATATCATTTTTAGTTATAGATGAGAGGGATGCCATTGTAGAAAAACTTTATCTATGCGTCATGATAAAACTAGAGAGTCGCTAAATATTACCCTGCTCCTCATATTTATTAAAACTTTAAATAAAAAGTTATTGACTAGTCAAAATTTTATTTTAACCATTCTTCGTTTAAAAATAACAAAATAAATAGGTTCTCATTTAATTTCCGAAAGTTATCCGTAAAATCTATCCTTAGAAATAATTATTTGTTACAATTCACTTGATAAAAAGTGAAAAAATAGTGGGTAAATATTTAATAATAAATCATACTGTCTATAATATAATATATATAATTTAAACATACAAGTAGTATGTTACAAATATGAATTAATTGTGATATATAGTATTCAATAATTAAATACTAAAAAGGGATATACTATCTTCATTTTTATATTTTTTAAACGATGATTATAGTTTAAATCATATTTTTATGTGATATTATACCCTTTAATATGTTATACAATATATTATTTATTTTCAACAAGATATTATTCAATCAACTTAATCTAAGAGGTATGCATCTCCCTATGTAACAAAAAATTTGTTGTCTTTCTATGTATATTATAAAGTTTATTTAATTACGGACTAATTAGTACTAGAATCTTTGATGAACAGTACACAGGTTCAATCATTTTTTAATACATTTAACACTAACTACTGGTTAACCGTAAAATATAAATGATTTTTTTTTCTAAATTCTGTTGTATATTTTTTACGATTTATCAAATAAAAAGTACTTTTTCGGTTTGTCACTTATCGTGTATCGTAGTTTTAAGTAAAGTCCATTAAATATGCTAACTTTAATCCAACCAAATATTTAATGACTTACTAATCATAACAAATTTGAATTTATATTCTACTTTTTGTGCCAAAGCACACAAAGTACTTTGAAGACATTATGTCCTGGAGTATCTACGTTAAATCAATGCTATTTGAACAAAATTTGTTCGAATGTTTTAAATTATAAATTACTGCCTATATTATAGGTTTATAATTTAAGAATGTTGAACTTTCAAACATAATTTTAGCTCAACTTGCCAGTTCAGAACTTTATATTGTTAAATATAATATTTCACGAAGATAAAAATATTGCATTTTTTAGATTGATATGTGATCAGGAACTTATATAATTACTATTAACAGTAAATTTATAAGGAAAACTCAAAATTTTGATAAAAACATTTCATTGTATTTTTATTATGATAAATCATTTAAATAGGAATCTTAGTAAGCATTTCTATGCAACTATGGTATTTAAATAATTATTTATACTGATATACTGCACATAATACATTTTGCTTGTTACCTATTTTTTAATTAAAATATATTTATTGACTATTCATATATAACATAAATATTTGTTATATTAATTAGAAGGATTTTGTTATTATTTGTCCATATGCGAAACTTTAATTTCAGATTTGAAATAGACGCAAAAAAATGGGTTTAGAAAAGTATCTTTTTGGTCTTTGCTGACAATTCCTCGTAGACCAATAAATTTATTTATAAGGAAAAAATTTTTTTTCGTATAATACTAAATTAACATATATCAATTTCATACTATATTTAATTTCTATAATAAAAATATATTCATATATTAGACTTATGCATCACAAAACTTGTAATCAGGATATAAATATGAAAATAAGAGTTCATTTAAATTTTTTTGCTTCTTTTAAGTTGAGAAAAATAAATTTGAAGTTTGAATTGCAACAAGCTCTTTAATTTTTATACATGTTTGTTATAGAAATGTCGAAATTAACTACTTTATCATTTTTTATTATTTCTCCATAAAAATTACAATATTAAATTATTAAATATTAATTTCATACTATATTTAATTGCTATAGTAAATACTTATTCATAAATTATACTTTTAAATCTAAGAACTACTAATCAGGATATAATTAAGGAAATAAGGGTTGATGTTGCTTTTTGAATAATCCATCAATTTTTTTAAATTAAACACTATCTACAGATTTGCATCGAAGCGTTTCTTAAGATGGTAATTTTAATCACTGTCAGATATTATCTATACTTATTCCAACTATGCCGCCACCTCACTGTGCTGCCGTTTTATATAACATATAATTTAATCTCTCTCTTTCAACTAAATAAAATATAATAGATAATAATGATATTTAGGGCTCTAACTTATAACTAATATTTAATACTAACACTTAAATCATTTTAAAATTTTTTTTTGTAAAATGGGTTTATAGGTTTCTTGTCCCAATTTTCTTTTAAATACCATAAAATAAATTTCCATGCAATTTTTATGTTGGATAAATAAAAGTTATATTTCCTTTCCAAAAAGAAATGTATTTTTTATATGGAAAACAAAAATGACTACTAGATAACTTCAAAGGGAAAAATATTTCATTATTTTTTTAAATAACTGATAACTTAACTCAATTAAAAATCAAAACATAGTAACTTATCTAATTTAACTTAAATTTTCAACTAACTTAACCTCTCAAATTTTAAAAAGTTACTAATGTAACCAGCTTTGGCTATATTATAATTTATTTACATTAAATAAATTATAAAATTAAAACGGAGTTGACGGAGAAAAAGTTTTTGCGCTGATATTAATTGAGAAATGCATTTTGAACAAATTAAAACGTACAATAAAAAAGATGGTACTACTACGACAAACTATTGCACTTTTTTGTGTATTTTAAACATTTATTTAAAAAATTATAATATAGCTAAACATCATGTCTCACTTAAGTAATGCAACAATAAAAATATAATTATAACACAAGTGTAAAAAAATGTTTGAATAATAGAATAAGTACCTAATACGGCACATATTACACATGGTGTCAATAAATGAGTGATAGCAACTGTTTGAAAAATTATTTTATTAGTAGGTATATTGCAACGCTTTTTATATAGAATTTTTAAAATGATTCTTTCAATGGTAATTAACCTATTAAATTTACTTTTTTTTACTATTATTTATTCAATTAAGGGTGCAATTATCAATAATTATTGGCCAAGTAAGTTTAAAATTTAAACATTATTATAGAAACAAATAGATAAAAGAAACTATTGGATTTTGAATTTTACTTTTTTATAAGCGTTAAGAGTTTAAAAATCAATTAAATTATTGTTTTAACTATAGAAATAACAGCTATAGTTGAACCGTTACGTGATCAAGTCAGCAATTTTCTTTTTAATTTTTACTTTTTATATATTACAATTTTTAAAATACTTCTAAATATATTTTCAATTTACATAAATAGTTATTTTCTAAGATAAAAATACTATCATTTGTTTAATATTTTATATTTTAGCTAATATTTTTTTTAATCGAAATTATTATTATTGTACTTCAAAATTATAAAATATATAAAACAAAATAAAAATATGAGATGCTAACTTCATCATGCAACACTTCATTAATAGATTTTAATTCTCAATTAAGTTTATAATTATTATAAAGTTCACTGAAAAGACATAATCAAAAAAATATCTAGATTAAACATAAGCGTTTCAGCAAATATCAATTACAAATAAATATTAGTATTTGTTTTTCTAAAACCTAATTAATGTATATTATTAGAAATTTAGTTATTGGAATCATGGGCGCGTCTGACTTATAATAACTTAGAAATATAGTTTATAATTTTTATCGCTGAGTGCATTAACTACAAATGGTGTTGAACATTCACTATTTTTAACTACCTAAATCTTATAATTCTTTTAAGTACGAATACAATACAAGTCAAATTGTACCTATACACAAAAATATATTAGACAAATATTAATGCCTTAATTGTTCCTAAGTGATTTTTTTTGTTTTAATATATGAATTGACTAATTCATAAAAGTGAATAACAAATATTTTAATTACGCACTTAAAATATTTTTTATTCAATAAAAGTATGAAGACTATACCATCATTATATTATTTTATTATTTTATTTCTATAATTAATAGCAACTATTATACAGGTGCGGCAAAATAAGCAGTGCAGTTTTGAAAGTCTATTTAAAAAAAAGAAGCAACTTATAGATATGAAGTTTATTTAATTTTTTTCAGTACATCATGCCATTTTATGTATTAGGTTTTAAAAATGATATCAGAACGATGATGACCGCCAACAGCGATACATTGATAAAGGTGATTTCTGAAGTTTTCGGTCGCATTTCGACACATTTCGACTGGTATAGCGCCGATTTCCTCCCGAATTCGCTCTTTGAGTTCTTCCAAGGTGTGAAGTCGATTTTTAAAAACCTTTTCCTTCAGATAGCCCCACAAGAAAAAATCACAAATGCTCAAATCCGGTGAGCGCGCGGGCCACCCCACATCACCCCTCAGAGAAACGAGGTGCATTGGGAATATTTGTCGCAGCTACGTCATTGAAACTCGAGCAGTATGTGCTGTGGCCCCGTCTTGTTTGAACTAGATGTCCCCCATTAGCTCTTCTAATTGAGGTTCAAAAATATTTTCCAACATGGAAATATAACGTTGAACGGTCACTTTTGGGGAGTGAGAGGTCTTTCATGAATTTGCTGTGGATTATTTTCAGCCCAATAGCGAAAATTTTATTTATTAACTGCTCCATTGAGATGAAATTGAGCTGAGTTGCGATGAAAGAACGATCATTTTCAAAAAACGTACGGACAGCAAAGCCCCGTTTTTCATCAGACCAAACCATGGTAATGACTGATAATGGCATGGCCCGCCCGACGAAATAAGACCATCGTAATCACACTACCCCTACCATATGGGAAGTAACAACCTATCAAAACTGCACTGTTTGATTTGCCGCACCCTGTAATTTAGTTATGAAATATTTGTTTCGGTTACACCATACAAAATATCATAAGTTATAACAAATAACACAGTAATTATAATAGAATTTAAAACAATTGTTAATTAGTTTACATAAACAAATCACGCAGGTTTATCGAAACTTTAACACTATAAAGAATTGAAATATTTATACATTTTTAATCTGTTTAATTTTAATGGCTCCTGTAGTGGTTGGCGTCCGCTGAAAATTTGACTCAACATAATTTAATTTTATTCCCACCTAGTTAAATATCAAACATGAATCAATTTGTATACTTAATTCAGTGTATTTCTGATACATTTATAATTCATAGGTGAACGTGCTCGCTAATAAAGAAACAAATAAATTATAACTAACAATAACAATAGATTATATGGCATACATTACCCAAAGCTTCATTGAATCTTTTTGATGATTCTTTCCTCTCTTCGTTTTCGCTCATCCCTTATCTGATCCATTGGTTATTAATGTATGTACCCACGGTGTGCGACCTAACCCCAGACTCATCTACTTAGTTAGTTCATGTGTCACAACGGCTCCAATGTCACGTACATCTTACATTTTATTAAAATGTAATAAAATATTATTTATTTTATATATCGTTCATTTTATTAGATTAAGTTCTCGCGCCGCACGATACAATATGACCTTGTACATTCGACCACCACCGTCGATTTACTACCGTAGGTTATACTTATCAGACTACATTTGTTTACAATAGCTGAACGGACACCTATTCGCTGATAAACAAAAGCGCCAACAAATATAAAAACATAAATTATTGAGCTATTATAAAATATATGTAACATGAGTAATTTCAATTCAGATAGAATCAATTTTAATCATTAAAAATATCAATTCATAAAATGATAATTTTCATAAAAAATTAATGTATACAACCAACACATAATGTAAAAATACTTCATACATAAATTTATCGTTTTCTTCATAACATGACTAATAGACATTTACTATTTTATGACATTGTAAAATAATAACACAAACATTTTAATTTTTAATAATTTCTAAATGCTCTAGAAATTTAACTACAAATTATTAATAAGACATTTAAATTATTTAAACATTTTACCTACATTTTAAAAATTAATTTTTACTTAAAGTAAAATTAGAACATTAAATAAAAAAAAAACTAATTTCGAAATTATGAAAATTTAAATTCTTCGAAGATAGTATTACTACTAATTTTTTCACTGGTATAAACGATCATTCAAACAAAGAAAATGTGGTACCAAATTTTTTCTTTAAATTTATTTAAATTTTTTTTGTATTTTACATAAATTAAAATTTTATTATTTTTATATTAAACAATTTTTATTATATTAATAATTTTATTATTTTTATATTAAAATTATAGATTAAAAGTATAACAATTATTTAAAAAAGAAAGGATCGTAAAAATTTACTATATCTAAAGTAAATCTAAATTATTTTTCATATCTTTGTGACTTACTCTGTATACTTATAATTTTTAGAAATGGTGATATCGGAAGTAGTCCAAATAAATTTTTAAAATACTTTAAATAATTATTCCTATTTACAATTAATCATTAATTTCTACTAAAAGAGGTCCAAAATATATATATATATAACATACCTAAATATTAATAATACATTTTTAAGAAAAAAACTTATTAAAATAAATTTAAACATTTTCTATCAAAATGTTATTAATTTTCGAATTTATTATTAAATAATTATAAATAGTTTTATAATTTGTTTAATACATATATTCGGATACATTCATGAATTTTTTTTTTGTATATTTTACTAATATTTAATTAATTAAAATGAGTTTTTTTTAGAAACTAATGAGCTGGCACAACATGTAAATCAATTAAAGCATGATCAGCCTGATTTAGTAGAACATCATTTTCAATCACATAAAAATTCAAATCATATAACAAACGAATTGAATACAGTTCCTCGTTGTATGATCGATTTATTAGGTCCTTCATTAGGACAAGAAAATATATATTCAAAACCCGTTTACGATTTACAAGGACGACGACCCGTTTTTAAACTAGAAAAATATTCATATCAAAATAAAAATGTGCAAACGGGAAACTATAGTTACACAAAGAAAACCAGAAAGCCAAAAAAAGTAGTTGAATATGAAGTAATAGAAGAAATTACGGAAGAAACTGTGGAGAATGACGACGATGACGATGACGATGATAGTGATGATGATGACGATTCCGAAGATGATGACGATGACGAAAACGATGATGAAGATGATGACGATGATGACGATGATGATGACGACGAAGACGAAGACGATGACGATGAAGACGATGACGATGATAATGACAATTAAAATAGTAATTAATAAGATAATTTAAACGTTATTATACCAGTAAAAATGTCAATAAATGTAATAAATCAAAATAATTAAAATCATACAATAAAAACATCATTTTTTTTTAAATAATCACTTTAACTTTTATCTTAATCTTTTAACAATAAAATAAATCAAAGTAATATTTAAAGGTACTTTTTAATAAACCCGCAGAGTTTGTGGTATATGAAATAAATATATTTATCTAATATCGAAAATGATTTTTTTTACTTACTACCAACGTAATAATAATAATGCGTATTTAACTTCTAAAAAATGTAATTGGTTTTTTACTAAAATTATAACTAACATATGACAATACTCAAAGGTCAAACGTAGGTTAAGATTATTGAACGAAATAACCTTGATTAACACATTGCAACATGTAAATTGAATAAAATATCTCTTTTATTTATTACTAAAACATTAAGAAAAAAATTAGTACAGAAAAAATAATTAAAAGCTTTTTATCACATTTTTTTTTTTCAAAAAATATTTCACAATAAAACATACGATATTGTTAAGTTGTTTGTATCGGTTTTTAAGAAATTATGCGTTATTTACTATTTATTCTACACCAACGGTTTTTTCCAAAGTAATAACGTTATAAATAATTTTGAAGTATAAAATAATTTAATAACAGTGAACTCATATTTATCTAAATTTTACACTACTATACAAAACTTATATAACCTTTGCTAACTTAAAAATTTTGTCCAGTAAAACATTTTTTACGTTTACTTATTAGTAAAATACGTAATACAGAAAGAGCTATCTCTAACTTTTGATATCATAACAATGGTTGATTAATTTACTATTTAAGTATTTATTATAAAGAATAATTTCCCCATTAATTATTTTCTGAACAACTATACTAATATAGAAAAGTTAGTTAACAACTTTTATTACGCTTAATACACTAGTTCTACTTTTTATCTCCAAATTTTTACTCAGAGAATAATCATAAAAACATTAACCAATTTACATAAAATATTGAACGTTTATTAATTTAATTTAAAATTATTCCCTTTTTTTAACGTCAATTATTAATATAGGTGGCTGTGATGTAATTCAAATTTTAAAATATAAATATATAGTAATTAATAAACTTTAACTAAATTATAATATCTTTAACAACATAGTATGTTATAGTCGTTTTTATATAAAAAATATTTTATAAATTATCATAACTACCTTAAATTATTTAGTGTAATTATTAAATAACCAATTTTGTTAAATTGATGATTAACTATAACAAGTGTTAATTATCACAAAAATAGTTTTGAGTTTTATAAAACCAATAAATTACTTATTTCCAAATTATTTTTAAATTAAAAAATTAACTTTTAAAAGGTTAATTTGTAAACAAAATCAAAAATTAACTCTAAAGGATATACTATGAATTCTACTCAATATTAATGTGTTATTATAAAGATTAAAGCTGGGTGTGATTAAAAGGTTCAATCCCTCAAAACAAAAATATTTCTACTCTACTACATAATCCTATAACAAAGTAGCTCAAACAACATTTATAAATGTATATAATTTCTAGTCTTAATGATGTGAAAGTCTTTTAACAAATGATTATTTACATATACTAAACTTCATTTCATTTTTTTTTTAATCCATCGATCGATCTTTTGAAAAATTACAGCATTTTAGATAATTTATTCTGAATGTTACACGTCACATCATTTATTTTGATATGTTTTGAATGTATTTTCTTATAGATAATAAACGGAATAGATGACAAATTAAAGCAATTTTCATTGAGAATATTTTTATAATAAATAAAAGTAGATTACTTGAAATATATAAAGGAGGTATAATCCATACATTTTTCTGTGAGTCATCTCATCAGAATAATTTGTTTTAAAAGTCAAGAAAGTTCTCCCTCTGTAATTTTCTCACCTACATATGTACTCAGCTACCCGTATAAGGAGAACATTACTCTAAGTTTCCCCTAATAAGTTTCCCCCAAACTACCAGAGAGACTAATAATGAAAATCAATATCCCTGCATACCAAACACATTTACTCTTGCGTCACTCCTTTCGAGTCGGACAACAATCAATACTCCCCCAGGGGGGGGTTGGCTCCCCCTGCAAGTTTGTGGCGCTTCATAGTGGCAAACGAGCACAAGCTCAGTGTGTTATGGGAAAAATCGACCGTCTACGAGAAAACTGGGCAGTACGAACGGTTCATGCGGACTACATGTATAAAGTGTTTTTCATCAGAATTTAGATAATGAGTTATTGTGAATGCTTTCATTTAAATAGATAATTTTTTTATTTAAGTGAAGTGATTTCTTTATCTTTTTATTACAACCCAACTTTTATTTGATGTCGATTAATCCAGAAAAGTTCACCTCAAATGTCACGGCACAAGTAAGAAAAATGTCTTCAGACATTTACAACAAAATCTTTTTCACACAATAACAATATTAATAAATGCAATATACGATATAAGCATTACAATTTTATTATTTTAATACATAATTAATAGTTATTATGACTTTTTTGATGTAAAAAAAATGATCATTACCTTCTTCTAAAATACAATTTTCAAAATCTACAACGCCCCCGTTACACCCTATCCAAACCAATGTCAGCCTATTAGGTTTATCATAAGTAGGTCAATGAGCACGCACACGTTTATTTCATTGTCGAATGTGATAATATTTTTAAAAATATTAATTTAGCTCTTATCACAAAACTAAAATTTTCATTATTAAATAATCAATGAAATTTTGATATGATAAAAGTTGATTTTTAATAGTTGCTTTAAAATTCATTATAATTTATTAAGAAATATATTTTTTTAATAGTTAAAAATTGATCACATCAGTTTTTGATGAAATAAATTAGAAACTTATTTTTAAGCTTATTAAATAGTGTCAATTAAGTATTAATTTTGCATTAAAATAATTTCATACATTAACGTTCACTTTTTTTTATAATGTTCTAGTTATATAAAGATGAAATAGTAATTTTTCATGAATAGTAAATTTAATAGAGTAGTTTTTAAAGGGATGGTGTGTCCAAGTCGGTAACGCAACAGTGCCTGATACGGACTTTGTCGGGTTCGAAACTTGATTCTGAACGACTTCATTTGCTGATCGAGAGATCAATTCAGTAATTGGCGTTTCCATTCCTCTCTCCAGCGACGTACTAACCACCCGTCTTAAAGTATCTATGATATAGAAAGCTCCTCTTTTGGGAGGCTACAATAGCTCTCAATGTGAAGATAAACAAAAGTATATAGTAACAATTTATTTCATTTTTTGAGTAAAAATAAAATCGAATAAATTCTCTTTCTATCATATATTTATTCAATTGTAATTAATAATCATATTTTAAATAATATGCGTTAGATTAATTGACAAGTTTTTAAACTTACTTGCCACCCGTAGCGTATACAACTTACACAACTCGGTCACTTTGTTAACAAGCAGTCGATTTGTTTCCCATTCATCCCACTCCCAACGTGTTCTAAGTTGTCGCGTTAATCCACAAGCCATTATGATAAGCACAACACAGTGATTCATGTTGATTATGATTTATTACTTTTCTTTTTTTCAACAGTTTTACTTTCAATGTTTAATATAGTAATTGCAATTACTTACATCGTTTTATCTATTTTTCTTTGGTTAATAGATACAAAGATGACCATTAACTAGTTATAAAGTTTTTTTAAGTTTACTAGTCAATATTAATTTATATTGACTTTTTAAATTGATTTCTGTACCATCAAATAACATAGTTATTTCAGCTAATTAGATAACAGCTGTCAAATTAAAATTAATAATTTCATAGACGTTTTTAGCAAAAAATATGCATGACAATCATGCATTATTATATGATAAAATAATTATTATTAAGGCTTCTCATTTTTCCTCAGATTTAAGAAAAATACTAAAAATAACTTAAATAAGGTGTTGAGTATATGTACATCTATATACTAATAATTATTTCTTAAGATCATGATAAGAAATTTATTTAATTACCTATTATTACCTATTTGAATACCCATTACCTTGGTTTTAGAATGAAACTGGACTAAATTGACTATTAAATATAATTCTTTTATTCGGATTGATTTTTTTTCTGGGGATTTCAGGAAATAATTTTTTAACTTAATGGTTATGCCCCTGCAATTGTGTTAATGTTACTCAGAACTTAAGAAATCAGAAAAAAAATATATTATAATATGTAATCCTGAAACTGTTTTAAAAGTAAATCATTTTTTTTAAATAAAATTAAATAAATAATTTTTTTCTCATTAATTTTTGACTATTTACTAATCAATATTGTTCTTATTTAATTTAACTTAAGCTAATTATTTCCGTTAACATAGCCGCCTTTGCATAAACGATAACTATTTCTTTTACTAATTAATACAACAATCCATTAGGTTTTTTAATAAAGAAATAGTTAGTGTACCAGCTAATTTTGATTTTTTTCGTGAGAAGTTATAATAATAGTTCACTTATGATTTAATTTTTATCGTTTACAAAAAATGTACCCCATAATTCTATTATTATAATTATATTTATAAAATTTATATGAATACAATTTTTTTCCATTCTGGAAAGCTATGCTTGATAAAGAGGATGGAAAAACCAACAAAAATTCTGCACAAAAGAATCAAATGCCAATACCAACGCATCGAGACACGACGCGTTCCCAACTAAGTTAAATAGGTCGTCTAATATTATGTTAATTAATTTACGAATCCTAAAATAAATAAAACATCATAATTTTATAGAGTAACTATGATAATATTTAATTTTTATTGATCATTTTTTACATGTTGTGTTAAATGTTAAAACATTGTGAAGTCGTTTTTTTAAAAGGCAACAATAGTTTCCCAGTCGTTTAATTGGACTTATAAGTCTACTTAAACAAATGACTGATTTTTTAACATTCGATTTGAACTACTATAAATTAAAAAAGTCCTTTTGGCCGATTGAAGTAACTTTAAGAGGGGGTTGTCCACTAAAGTTAAGTTTCTATTTAAACATTTTATTTTAAACTATTTCAACTACCTTAATGCATTTCAACGTAGTTTTTTAATAATTTTATGGGTATGTAAAAACATTGAAGATGAATTTCATTAAAACTGCTTGAATGTTTAATTTTATATTAGATTATAGTAAATATCAAATACATTAGTAATATTTAAATATGTAGCCAAAGAGTCCTTAGTAGAACTATCTTTCTAAATCTAAAATACATTTTATATTACAAACGAGGTTAATTTAAAAACAATAATTCTCTTTGTATGGATATCTCCTTAAAGAAGATTACTTTTACATAATTTTCTATAAAAAATAAATTATGAGATATAATAACTATACATTTTTAAATATATATCATTGGTATGTCATATTTTATATAATTGAAGTTTTATTTATTAATAATTAGTAGAAAAGTACTTTATATTTATTGCAATAAAAGATTTTTTTAAATAATTATCATATAAGATTAAAAATAAAAAGTTTATGTACATTAAGTAACTGTCATCAATGTATATCTGTCCCTTCTCCTAATTTTATTATTATTGTGTATACAATCTATTTTGAGATCTCATGATACTGGTCAATCCACACATATACTGCGCGTGATCGAAAACAAACTCAATAATAACGACGGGCATCAACTACAGTTGTGCTTCTGCATTCATTTATACAGTCTATATAATTTTTAAATAATAATAAAACTTCTATTTAAAAAAAATAATAGTTTTGGAAATTTGAACTCGTGGTAAGTATTTTTAAAAATAATTAGTTTAATTCAATGGCTACGTTTAAATATCAATGCAAAAGTATTAAATAAAATCTGTTAACTTTTAAATTAAAAAACAAACATAAGTTGTTTACAAGTATTTTTTAATATAAATATGATCAATTCAACAATTTTTTTAACGATTAAACATTTTACTGCTTGTATTTTAACACGCAAATATACTTCTCAATTCATATGTCATAATATTATTATTGGATAGAACATAAATCAACACTTCGTAAACTATCATTTTAAAAACAATTATTCGAATATAAATACAAGTGTTTTAATATCAGGTAATTAATTGTAAATGTATATACCAATATATATTTTTAAGGTAGTATTATAGTAAACTTTGATCCATTATACAAAAACGACATTATTAATATAACGAATGTATTCATATAGTCCAACATGTATTAGCACGTGATTTCATTTACTAATATGATGTAATAAAATATTATGCGGTTTTATTTATATCAACTCCAGTCTAATTGAAAGAAATTATTAAACAAATCGAAAAACAAATTATATTTATAACTATTTATAATTATATAACTATTTAGCATTTTTAATTATTTAAAACAAAATTAAATTTACAAATATTTAAACAAAATTCAATATTAATTTTAGAAAAATAACATTAAGAATTTTGAAACAACAAAAATAATTGATTCATTAAATAATTTCCAATATAATGAGTTATATAATTATAATTGAATTATAAATATCATCTATAATCTTTATAATAAATAGGTTTTACTACAAAAATAAAATCACCAAACAACAAAAATATACTATTTTTAATAAAAAATTTATTATAAAGTGTTTAATCAGTTTCTATTAACAAATCTTTATGATAATCACATTGTTATAGCTTAATAATACACAGCTACTTAAATACAATTGCTGCACTCACTAAATTGAATTAGTAAATCTTTATGGAACGTAATAAAAGAAAGATTTACATATTGTTTACTTAGTTGAATCATTTGTTCAATTTAAAACCTTCTAGTCCCTCAAATAAAAGGATATAACATTATATTATTATAAGGTTTAAGAATTGACAGGATATCAAAAATATTATATATTTGTTTATTGTTAATAAAAAATAACATACAAAGCGAATATGCTCTAATTTAAAATTTAAACTAGAGCACATTCGTAAATAATAATACTGTAACTTATAATATTCATTAATGTATAATTAATTGAAATTTTTAATCATATATATAAATATGTGCGTGTATATGGCAATTATCCTTATGTTACATTATTTGTATTAACGCAATAAAATCAATTAAAATATCAAATTTTTACAACAATTAGTTGTTATTAAAATAGTTCTACAATTGAGTATAATATTGAAATTGTATTGATTTATATAGGCTTAATTAGATTAATTACATACTCACTTTTTTTAATTTTTATAATTCTGTTAAATGGTTACCATAACTTAAATCTTAAGAAGTTTTGCTTATCTATCTAAACATACAAAAAATGTCATATTAATCTCATTGTCATATTGAATATTCTATTAATATAAGGTAATCATCATTATTCTATCATGGTTTTATTATTAAATTTCATATTTTTAACTTATTTTATAAATAATATTTTTTAAACAATTATTATTCTCATTTATGTTAATTTTTTATTTTTAGAACTCTCAGTCAATTGCTTACAGAACATGCTGAAAATACACAAAGGTTTGAAAAAAAAGAAGAAAAATAAGAAAAATAAACATAAAGAAGACGAATTATTTAACGAAGAAGAACTAGAAAAATATCGCCGAGAGCACCAAGAGGGGAAAGAAAGTGAAGTAGAAAGACAAGATCAGGAGTGGCAAAAATTTAAAGCAATTACTGCTGATATAGATAGTGTTTTAAAAAAAACCCAAGGAGATCTTGATCGAATAAAATCAACTAGTTTTTTTCAAAGAAAACCAACACAAGTTGAAGTTCAAGCAGCTCATGATAAAATAGAAGCCGAAAAAAAAGCAAAATTAGAGGAAGAAGAACGTATTAAAGCAGAAGCTTCAGCTTGTGTTCATGCGTCTGAAGAGCACGAAGCTACTTGTACCACCCCTAACGCAGCATCGTCTGAAGAAGAATCAGATCATGAAGATGACATATTTGATACGTCATATGTAGATATCATAGCAAGTGGAGAAGTCAAATTAGCATATATTCCTGAAAGTCCCACCGAGGAAAAAGAAGAATTTGATCCATTTGACACTTCAATAGTAGATAAGGTTATTAAACCAAATTCTACGAAAAAAAATCAAAGATATATAAGTCTTGGATGTGCTGTAGAAGTACTTTCGGGAAAAGAAGTTGATATTAATCCTGACGTATTCAGGTTATCGGCTGTACGGAAACGACCAAAACCAGTTAATCTACTATTAGAAAGTTTCGATGAAAGTTCAAGCTTGAAAATTGAAGACGATGTACCTGTAAAAACATTACTTGATGATGATTCAGACTTACCAGCTGATGATTTGCCATTAACTATAGTAACACCAGTAAAAGAAATAAAAATTAACTCTAATGAAATAGAAGATCAAATTAAAACACCTGAACAAGACATAGCTAATATTATAAACGAATTTGATACTCCATTAGTGATTAGTGAAGAGGTTGCTACTGGGAAATTACAGTTAGTTGACGACGATATAGACAATGAATTTGCAGCTTTAGCCGCAGAATCGTTATCTAAAACTCATTTGCCAGAAGATATTGATCCATTTGATACATCATTTGTAGATCATGTTGTACCTACTATAAATAACGTAAATATACAAAGTCAAGAGATAAATCAACAAAATACAAACGAAAAACTAACTGAAAAAGATTTTTACAGTAAAGTACGACCACTTAGTATTGAACACAGAGATCTATTAGGTGGCAGTACAACAGACTTGTCTGTCATTGGTCATCATCTAATTGAACCAAAAAATACAATTTGTGGAGAAACGGAAATAGATCCATTTGATACATCAATTGCTGAAAGTTTACAACCTGGAAAAGGAGAACTAAAGCTTTTAGAAAAAGAATTTTTAAACGATTCAAATTCTTATCCCAAAAAAATCAATATTGAAGAAGACGAAGATTTTAATCCTAGAGCAGAAGAACCTTCCTCGCGTCCAGTCGAACTCAATCTTAAAGATAAAAGATTTAGCGTTCCAAAAGTGACGTTTGCGATTGAACAAGATTTGTTAACAGACGATAATCACGGTGAATTACACGTTTCAAAACCATTGACGCCATATTACCCTGAAAGTGAATTAGAGGAAGAAAAATTTATTCAAGACCCTTTTGATACATCTCATGTAAACCACGCCCCTGGAAAAGCAGAACTCAAATTATTAGAAAACGAATTAGTAGAAAAAGAAAATAAGTGTACAGATATACTAACAGAAGAAGAATTTATAACTCACATTCTCCATACACCTGTTGAACCACAAATTCCTGTTACAAACGAAATCGATCCGTTTGATACGTCATTTGCTGAAAACACTTTACCAAGTCAAACAGAAATTAAAATATTAGAGTCTGAACTTATTTCAAAATAATCATGGCAAATCCATTTTTGGTTGAAGATATATCATCTTCTGTTAAAGAGTCCAATACATTCAATCCATTTCTGACAGACGCATCTTCAGAAATTAATGAAAACCCTTTTTTCACATCTTTTGGAGGAACAAATAATGTTCAGGATAATACTAATCCCTTTTTTTCTTTTACTGCACAACCAGAACCTCAACCACCAGTTGCTGATCTTTTGAATATTAATGAAAAACCTCAACAAACTATTACGAATGACTCTAAGACAAAACCACCACCCCCTAGACCAACACCACCTAAAAGACCGCCACCCAGGCCTATGCCTCCACCGGCTCTATCACATGAAGCTAAAGAATTAATTCTTAGTGTTACTGGTGAAATAGATGCAACGTCAACACATATGTTGGATAGACTAGCTAAAACTCCAAGCCCCACACCAATAAGAGAATTATTAACACCCAGTCCACTACCAACTCCCGATTTGATAGGTGATGAAGATCTTCTGCCACCAGCCCCGTCTGAATTATCATTAAATGAATTACAATCCACGTCAAAACCAGAAAGACCTAAATTTCCTCCGAAAGTTGAATATCATCCAGATGACACCTTGAACTATATTTCCACAGCTGAAATTTCTGAAAACAGTGAAAGAATTAGTAAAAAAAGAACTCCTTCTATTCCAGAAAAACCCCCATCATTAAATAGTTCTAAGCCTTCATCAAGAAAATCTTCAAATGAATTTATTTTACCAGTGAGACGATTATCTCATGATGTAACAGAATCTAGAAAAATAATGCCTGACTTGAGCAAAATTTCAGATCGCAGAAAATCGGATTTTGGACCATTTTCTCCAATTTTAACGACAAGACAACCTACCAGTCAAAGTGATCAAACTTTTAAGATCAAAACTAGCACAAGTATTAAAGAAATAAATGAGTCTGAAGAAAACAAAAATGATGAACATAGCGTTACATTATATAATTTAGCTAAGGAAAATAGTGATCCTAGCACTAAAATTAATACTGACAACGTATTAATAGACTCTATTGAATCATCCCAAGATGTACCCTTGCCATGGCAAGATGAAAAGAGCAATCAAAGTTTTGATTCTCAACAACCAGAAATAACATATGATACATATAAAAACGATCTTACACATCAAAATATTATTGATGGTACAATTGACTCATTATCTTCTGATTTATGTGAAAATGAAAAAGTTGTAACTTATAATTTTGATTCAAACTTAAAAGAAGATTCCTTTGAAAAAATAAGTGCGTTGTCTTCAGAATATATTTCTGATGATAAAGTAGCATATAATGCGTATGAATCAAAACCAACACCACCAGTTCCTGATCCATCACCTTTACCAGAAGAACAAAACACAGTGACTTCATTCGTAGTTCAGAATAACGAAATACCAGAAAACGCATTTATAGCTAAACCAGTTCACGAATCATTTCAAACATTTTCAAACTTTGAAAGTGATGCGTTTGATGCATTTGATGCCAAGTTTGATGACTCCCAAATTGGGTCAGTTGGTACTGCTGCTTTCGATGCATTTGGTGGTCCTATTGAAAACATAACTGATGAATCAGCAATAGGATTTGGAGCAGATGACAATTTTGATTCATTTTTATCAACCCATCCAATACCGGCAGCACCACAATCAACACCAGCTAGGGTCACAAGAAATAATTCAGGAGAATCAATCGATGAAAATGATTTCAATGTTTACATCAGGTAATATATTCAATATTTTTTATCCATAAAACAATTTTACTGTTTTTCAAATCAACCATCTGTGTTTAATTTTTAACACTAGACCAAAAGTTGAAGGAGATGAAGTAGATCAATTTGGAGTAACAGTGCCATCAATAGCTCCACCTCCTAAACCTACAAATATATTTCAAGATGGATTGTCTTCAAGATTCAATCCATTTGACCAAGCTCCTAGTGAATCTAATTTCAAAGGGCAAGGTAATTACTAAATTAAATCAAATTTACTTTAATATTATTTTTAACTATAAAGGTACATGTTTTTTCAAATAATTATTTTAGATATATTTACTATGCAACCTATTTCACAACGCACAGACTCTCAGGAAACTCCTCCTAGCCCATTATTTGATGAAGATGTTTCTCAGCCATTAGAAGAATTCCCAAGAGTAAACTATAATGGAGATGGATGGGAAATGGAGTTAAGACAGCCTAATAAAAAAAAAATAACAGCTCATAGATTTTGGAAAAAAATATTTGTTAAAATTGTTTACCAGGGTGAAAACCCAGTATTACAACTGTATAACCTTAAAGGTGATAAAGACCCATTCCAAGAACTTCCGCTTCAACCTAGTTACTCAGTGTCTGATATCGGTAGGTGTAGCTAATAAAATGTTTGGTTATTCCATTATTATTTTATACTTTTTAAATCTACGTATGATATTAAAAATCTTTAGGGGCTCAACAGTACGACCAATTCGGAAAAATTTTTACTGTTAAACTTTTATACATATTTTATAAAGAAAAAGCTGGATTTAGACCAGGCCAAGTCACAAAAGCAGAAAGACTAACCAATAAATTAAGTCAGTTTGCTGCGTATGCTATACAAGGAGATTACCAAGGAGTTAAAGAATTTGGTAGTGATATAAAAAAGCTTGGCTTACCTGTGGAACATGGCGCACAAGTATACATTTTTTCAACTAAATAAAAACAAAATAATCTTCTATCTGTAGCACTAAATAATTGATCTCTATTTATTTTAGACTACAACGCTATTAAAATTAGGAAGCCACAGTTATGAAGACATGAAGCAGTTTAGTATTTGTATCGAAGAATCATTATTTAAACTATCAGCTCACCGCGATAGAGCTTTAAATTATAAGGTAGAAGACGTACAAATTACCGTAGTTGATGAACTTTTCGTCGATCAAAACTCTCAAGGTTCTGTTCTCAAACAAACAGCTCGTGTGCGTCTATTCTTTTTGGCCTTCATGTGTGGTAAATTCAGACTTATAATTAACTTATACTTATTGTACTCAATTCAACATGTATAGATAGTAAATATTAATTTAAGTGAAATAAATATAATTTTGAAAAAGTTATCTTTATGCTGTACACATTATTAAATATTTAAAATCAAATGTTTGTAGGAATGCCTGATGTTGAGGTTGGTGTAAATGATTTAGTTAGACAAGGTAAAGAAGTTGTAGGCCGACATGACATTATACCAGTAGTCACAGAAGAGTGGATACGTTTAGAAGGAGTTGAATTTCATAATTGCGTTCAGCAGGATGAATACGAAAGAACAAGAACAATCAAGTAAACAATTTTATAAAAATACTTATTATATTTTGAAACATTTTATAAACAATCAAAATTTTAGATTTAAACCACCAGATGCTTGTTACATTGAACTAATGAGATTTCGAGTTAGACCTCCAAAAAATCGGGAATTACCTTTACAACTCAAAACTACCATGTGTATTACGGGGAATAAAGTAAGCCCCCAAACTGTAATTTTTTTTTAATAATAATAAAAATTTTTTTTAATGAATTTTTTTTTTTTGTATTATAGGTGGAATTAAAAGCAGACGTTCTTGTACCAGGGTTCACTAGTAGAAAATTAGGACAAGTACCTTGTGAAGACGTAGCAATTCGATTTCCAATTCCAGAATGTTGGATATACTTATTTAGAGTAGAAAAACATTTTAGATATGGTTCAGTAAAATCAGCTCATAGAAGGTAATAATAATGTCTTCTATTTAAAGATTTACTAGGACACTTCTACTATTTTTTATTTTAATGTATTTTCTGTATATAGAACAGGAAAAGTTAAAGGTATTGAAAGATTCCTTGGTACCGTTGACAACCTTGAACCGCACTTAATTGAAGTGACCTCTGGTGAAGCGAAGTATGAACACCATCATAGATCCGTTGTTTGGAGAATGCATCGTTTACCTAAAGAAGGGCAAGGTAAATATTTTAATTCAAAAACATAATTTGGTGATAATGACTTAAATGAAAATAATTTAGGAGCTTACACGACACACAATCTCGTCTGCCGAATGACTTTAACTTCATATGATCAAGTTCCGGAGCAGTTAGACAAATATTGTTATGTAGAATTTACAATGCCAACTACACAGGTTTCACATACAACAGTTAGATCAGTTTCGATTGTTAATAGTGAAAAAGACTCTCCTCCAGAAAAATATCTCAGGCTTATGGCTAGACACGAGTACAGGTATTTTAAAATAACATGTAATATTAAGAATATATTATTATTATAGAAAATGTCTATATAAATTATAAAAATAAAACTATATATTTAAACTAATAATCTTAAACTTATTTGTATTTATTAAACAAAATTAAATATAAAAACCTAGTAGATATTTAAAATTATACAATTTTATAATATTAACGTTAAAATTCACTATGGCTGTAATTAATTAATTGCCTTTCACTATTTTATTTAGGGTGGAAATCGAGCATATTCATGGTGAAGTTGAAGAAAATCCTTACTTAGCAGCAACTGCTATGCCAAAAACTCCACAACCAACAATAAAAGAAAAATCTCGCGTAACTAACGTTTCTGATAGCGATTCATCATCTTAATAAAATGAAAATGGATGAAATCATAAATAATACTAATAATAATAACTAAATACATGGACTATTCAGAACTACGATTATGTGTAGCATGTGATCTCTTCCTTTAAATAAAAAAATATGATGAGTTTAATATAAGTTAATGAAAAATAATAAAATAATATGTAAATAATATTAAATAAGGCATAGATGTCGAAAAATATTTAAGCAAGACAGTAAACTTATAAATAAAATTGCTTTATTTAAATAGTTTAATTTAAGTTTACATCATTATCTAAGTTTTACAAGTAGATAACTTATCATTTAATAAAAGAAAAAAATGTTTTTTTCTAATTTTTCGTGTTTACTAGTTAAATTGTTTAGCTAAATATATTTTATTTGGCTACTTTTAAATTAAATTTTTTAGTTTTTTAATGATTTTTAATTTTTAAACTTAGAGACCTTTTATTATGACATTATAGCATATGATCCCATGACAATAACTCTTTATTAAAATTGTACTATACGATTAAATATATAATTTACACTACTATATCTTTATTTTTTATGAATGTTAATTGTGTTAGTCAAACTGTTATGCTTACTTTGATGTTAAATATTTTTATTTTAAAAATAGTATTTTATTTTGATAAAGAATTTTTTCAGACACTTCAATATACTATTATTTAAAAAAAACAACCTGTAATTTATTTGTTATAAAATTTTTATGCCCTGTTTAAATATATAGTGTTATTCTATAAAAATGTTTGAAAACCTTTTGAAAATATTTTTTAAATATTATATTATAATATTAATCGTGACATTTAAACATCAGTATTCTTTACTAATTAGATTTTAATAGTATAACTATCGTGTACCTAACCTTTTTACTTACTACCTAATTACTACATTTAGTGTTTGTTAAACATTTTGTTTTATTTTGTTGCATATCACATTAGAATTAACGATTATTTAGACATACGATGTGGTTAGTTATATACAATTTTAAAAATAAAACTGTTAACCAATTTACATGTTATATAATGTAAAATTATACATTAAAGTTTATATTATTTCATCAGAATTTAATGTGCGACTTAAGTCTGAATTTATTTTATTCATTAATATAATTTAGCACTAAAATAAATTAAAAATATATGAATATTTTAAATATTATCTATTTAAATCTATTAACATGTTTGTAGATTAGAAATATAAAGTGAAATTTTTGAAAATTTCAAAATAACTACAAAAATTACACAAAGTTAACAATTATATTATTGTGAATAATCATTTTAATACTTTTTAATTACATGAAATAGCAATTGTTTTTTAAATATATTTTGTGATAACGAAGTGGTTCATTAAATGTATTAGTTATAATTTTATTTATTATTGTTATATTTTTCTTATTACAATATTCTGACTACATTAAAAACATATTTATAACAGTCTATATAAATTTGTTAAATTTAATCGTATATAATGTAATTATTATGAACATTTTTTATTAGGAAGTATCTATTTATTTATGTTTTCCAAAATAGTTTGTTATATATTTTATTATTTATTTATCATACTCTAAATCCGTACGGATTCTATAATTCTATGCACGATCTAATAATTTTGATGTAAAGCTATTTTGTAATTAGTTAAATGGAATATATAACTCTCATAGTATAATATGTAACATAGTAATTTATACAAAAATATTGTATGCTCGTTGGTTTGTATAAAATATATGAAAAATATTCAGTAATAAAGTAAACAATTATAAAAAGTAATAACAGTAATTATTCAATTTTTTAAATAAAAAATATGTTATATCAAATAATTAGCGTACATTTTTTTTTAGTTTGCGTACGTTTAACTCGATATGAGCAATAATATCACAAATAACAAGTTTAATAATAAAAATAAGACGTACGTATGTGATCATAATTCTCAAAAAAATCGAACAATAAAGTTATTTATAAACTTTAAAGAAATAATTCATTACAATTTTTTACGTAAATCGTAATTTGATATACTGAAATAACATTTCAAACGTAACTATACTTTCTTAATTGGAATTTCGATTTTTTTCATAGACTTTGAATTAGATACAGATCTTACAATTTTGATTCTCTTATTTCTAGCATTCTCGCTTTCATTCATAATCCGTTTTGAGACTAACGAAGACAATAAAATTGGTTTAAGATCCTTAACATCCGATTTAAAACATAAACTTGCTATTAATGCTACTACACTAGTTGTAAGGAATCCCAAAACTATATAATACATGTAACTTATTCTAAATAAATATATATAACTTTCACTGTCTTTATATCTAAATAAATTTAAAAAAAAAACTTTTAATTAGTAAAATTAAATTTAAGTTTAAGTTTATGAAAACACTCACATTGGTGTGACGGATAAAGTCGAATTAATCAAGTTATTTTCGAATTTACATCCATTTGTGTAAGTGGGTAAATTTTTAAGACGAGGCTTTGGTCCACCTAGTCCAATAACAAACAAAAATACTAATCCTATTGTCAGTCCGATTAACGAACCCTATTAACAAAAATATGACATGATTATTTTTCAGATAATATATATGTTTTAAATATTAGTTATCACCTTTTGATTGACATATGGAACAAATATACCAAGCGTAAAAATAGCTAAAATAGGTCCACCGATAATTCCAAGCAATGACATGGAAGCTTCTAACAAAGATCCCACATATTGTGCACAATACCCTAACATTATGGATAAAATTCCATACACAATCACCATTAACTTCAGAAAAACCACTCGATTTTTATCGGATAATTCGGCTCTAGAAAAAGGCTACAACAAATTTAAAATAATATTAATTTCAATAACATTTATCTTAGGTAAATATTTATTCGAAATACCTTTTTGTTATGTAAAAATTTTCGGATAGAATATAGTTTAATTCTAGCTTAATAAATTTGAAATCGACCAAAATTTAAACTGAAAAGTTAAAAATTAAGTAAAGGGCTGATAATAGAACGATAAAATCAATGCAATTGTCTGGGGTCATACGCTTGAAAAAACCTCACAAACATCGATGAAAAATAAAGATCTTTTTACTATAAAACAAAATAGATAAAATAAGACTCAAAAATAAAGTTTTGCGTTGAGACTGGTACTAATGATATCTAAAAACATACTAATAAAACTTTCATGAATTTCGTTGTATCACTTAAATACTCAATTTGACTAAATAACACAAGTATTGGAACATAACACAAATATTTCTACTGAATACATCTACACCATAAAATATGTGAATATATTTTGGTTGTTGCTTCATTATATTTATTTATTTACTTAATATTATAGTTTTAATATCATTTAAAATGTAAAATATTAAAAATTTATATGTATTGTACTTGATTTTTAAATGGAACACATTACAATGGGTTTTTATAAACTATTAATTAAAACAAACAGACTTACAAGTATATAATCTTCTAACGTAACAGCTGCTAATGAATTTAACGCAGCAGACACTGTGCACATTGCTGACGACCACACTCCGGACAAGTACAGTCCAGTTAATCCGGGTATGGAACCCATAGTATCCAAGACGAATAATGACATTAACTGTTCACCAGATTCTATCCTATGTGTTCTGCAATTGCATAACGGTTAATTGGGAAATACTATTTAAAAATATTCTCTCGACGACATATAACTACAATGTCCATAATGAAAATATATTTACTTTAATGGATCACAATCCCGATATTTCACAAATATAGCAAGTCCAGAAAAGCACATGGCCAACGATAGGAATGCAGTGAGTGGCCAACTAAACCACAATGTTTTCACAGCCGCGTCATAGTTTTTCATTGTAAGATATCGCTGGACTTGTACTTGATTAGTTGCGTACACAGAAACGTAAGTAAACATTCCACCAATAAATAAACTCCACCACGAATGCCTTACGGTTGGATCTATCTGAAAACTATACCGTAATGATTTAGTAAGCTAATCTAAAATGTATAAATTGATCTTGTCGATCACATTAAAACAAAGGATTTTACTATTTAAAATTTAAATAGTTTATACAACTTTAATAAACGACTTAAATTATTTACCCATAAATTTAAACTTAAAATAAATGCTTAAAAGTTAAATATCTCGAATGCAAAAGAAGATGATACATCTTAACATGATGGTAAATAGTTGATATTTTAAAATAAATATGGATAATTTATATATGAATAAATACATTTTTTTATGCGGCTTACTTAGCACAGTAGGGAAAGAGTCGTGCCTCGGTACCTAGACAATGGCTATGAAGATTTTTCCGTCCTCTCTGGCACAAGTAATGGCTTTTATGAGAGGACGTTATTAACGTCCTCTCATTATTATTTATTTATGTTTAACGTCACGTTAAACATAAATAAATAAATGCCAATAAAAGATACTTCGTAGACTACATATTTAATTTTTTTATTTACTTTGAAAAGTTAACACGACCATACTCGTTAGCAATATTCCAAATTTCTGTTAATCCTCCAACTTCTAATGCAGATATTATTATGACAGCAAAAACGGATGCAAACATGAGGATAGACTAAAATAATGATAAGTTTATGTAATTCTAAATTTCTAAATAACTAACCTTAAAATTCATTTTAAAAACGACTTAAATAATATAAATCAAATTTTACACAAATAAAAACCAACTACTTAATTTGAATAGTTGAGCGAAAAATAAAATGTTAATTTACAACACATAGTTTACATAATTGAATCAACAAATATATGAGAAAAAATTTAAAAACTGCAACTATTAAGTTATAACAAAATGGACTAATTTTTTTTTTTTTTATATCAAATATAGGTAATTTTCAAAAAAAATCTAGAAAGTTATACATATTTTGCTATATAAAATAATTTTTGTAAACATTAATTTAGCGCTCAAAAATTATATTCTACTTGGACCTGTGCAACTATGACCTTTTTTTGTATTTGGTAGTATTAAAAACTCACCTGAAATAAATCAGTTATAATTACTGCCTTTATACCACCAATAGTTGAGTAAAATATGCAAATAACACCAACGCCAATCATAGATATAACTTGAGGAATACCTGTAATCGCATCCGTAGCAATAGCAGCTGCATATAATACTAGGGCGGTACGCAAGATAGTCTGCAGACTAAATGCAAGTGATGTGGCTGTTCTAACCATCTTACCAAAACGTTCTTCTAAATACTATTATCATAAATGAGATAAGAATCTTTTAGTTTATTAATGATTTATCAAATTAATACAATAATAACCTGATAAATAGAAACGTATCCTAATTTAAAAAACACCGGCAAAAATAAGTAAGCCACAATTGGTGTTCCAAGAATATTGGATGCATTTATGACCATGAAATGAGTTCCTCGCATATAGTTTTCTGAGCTTAAACCAAACATTGTGGTCGCACACATGAAACTAGCCATCAATGAGAAACCAACTGGTATGACAGATAAATTTTTATCACCTAATATATACTCCTGAAATATAAACAAACATCTATGTATAATACTAACATATTTTATTATTATACAAAGTGTATACATTGTTAAATCTATAATTACTTACTATTTTAAAGTAAATTCTAAATTGCATTATATATTAATTGATATAGTTATTATATTGATAGTTATACGAAAATACAGTAACTATATTTTGAGCATATGTATCATTTTAAAATTATCTATTATGTATTACAATTTATATTTAAAACCAAAAGTTCAAATACAGTAAGAATAAGTATAAGTATATCCATTTGACATAACTATGGCCATATTTTGTAAGTATATAGAATGTCCCAGACTATCATGACAAACCTTATAACTTTCGATGCTCTGAACTTTTAAATTAATTTTTTTTTATCTTAACTATAATTCTTCATTTCAACGAGATTTTAAGAAAGAAAATAACAAAAAATATTCAGAAGAAATTTAGTAAAAACAAACTGAGACATTCTGTATAGATATTTAAAGACTCATAAATAGTACAGCATATATATATATATATATATAATGAGCATGTGAATGTATGCATCGAATATCATCGAGGCTGTACGCTATTTCAAACCAACTTGTTTTATAAATCAAGCATTATAAAGTTTAAATCCAGAGCTAAGACAAAAATTAAAATTTATTTTATTTAACTTTTTAATAATACTTAAGATTTTTATAATATTTTTCATACGACTGGTTTTAAGGATGTATATTAACACACTGTAATTTAAAAATACGTGTGAATGTATCAAATTCTGTCATTAGAATTACAGAGAAAATATTAGCAGTAGGTACAGCTACAATGTGACATCAATTTCAATCCCAAAATGTTAAACTATAAACATGCTGTACCTGTTTCAGTTGACCCACAAATAATTTAAATGTGAATTTCTATAAACAAAAAACCTTTATAGATTTATTAATTATTAATAATAATTGTTAGTTATTAATAAAAACTCGAAAACATTTACTGTTAATTACATAAAATTATATTAAAAATATTAATTTAAAACCAAAAAATAATTAAAATATTTAACTCAAAAATCTACAAAAAAAATGATATACTATAAAATCAAGTTGATAACAAAATAAACGAAATAAACTGTTAACAAGCAATTAAATTATTAATACTTGAAAATAATTATCATTTCAAAATAAGTTTATTCTGTTTAAAGTATAGTGTACTCAAGTATACATGTTAATAACACTGCACAACAAAAAATCAAAATTTTTTGCACTAAATAATATGATAACAAATTCATAATGAAATTTCGTAGCTGAATCCGTGTGTAGTTTTAGAATTTTCAGATTAATTTTATTTTTTGAGATAATCTTTAATTAAGTAAATACGTTATTAAATGCACATAAAAAAAATTCAAAAAACCCCATTTAAAACATTAAAGGGTAATATTTAAGAAGTACTTGCTAAAATTGAGATTTATACCTAAAAATAGATATATTTTAATAATTTAAAATTAAATCAATTATATAATAATAATAGAAGCCAAAATTTCTTAACCCACTCGATATTTTTTTTTTTTATAATAGCCATTTTTATCATCATATTTATAAAAAAATTAGGCCTTTGAAGTTTTAATAATATTTAGCATACAATTATTTTCTAGACATATTTCATAACAACCATTTAAAAAATTACAAGTAAAAAATTAATAGTTAATTGAACTTTTTTATACTATTTCTCAATTATATATATATATATATATATATATATATAGCATTTAATTTATTGATGTTACAAATTGGTTAATTTTTCAAATTTAATTATTAATCATCCGGTATTAAATACTAAAAAAACACAAACTTCAGTAGTTTTTTGACGACCGCCTGTTATCCTGTAATATAAACCAATTAATACTGATCCCAAGAGTGCACATCCAAGAACAACACTATCAAGAATAGCAAATGCCATAATAAAAGAAAAAATGTTATCACATGTAAAAAAAAGTTTTCATTAAAAGTTTAAAAAAAATTTATAAAAATTAATATAACTTAATTTTTATGGGTTTATTATAAATATAATTATTTTAATACTTATGTATAAAAATATTAGACTACAAACACGAATATTCAATTCATCAGTACACTTAATAATTTCAGATTAAAAATCGCGCGTGTGAGATATTTGTCCGACTGTGTGCTTTACTCTCTCTCAATCTTCCCTCTCTTAACGAACACTAATAGGCAGAACCAAAATAATAGAAACCAGTTTATAAATGTTAAAATTAATATATTTTAGAAAAAACTTGATTTATCATTTGTTAATACGTAGGATTCTTCAGTCAATAACATGTAAAATATATAAATAAAATTTTAATTTATATGTTGATATTGTAAATGTACATAATCAGTTTTTAGAATTAATAATACATTTTTGTGTTGTTATATTCTAACATTTCAAAAAAAAAAAATAAAGATTATACGTTAAAGATTATACGATAAAGATAACACTTGAAAAACAACAAATGTCAATAAACGAACCACATACATATATTATTAGAGCATTTAAATTCTTGATACTTTTCCAAGACACTAAAATGATTTATAACTAAATAAAGCATTTTAAACGTTCACAAACACAAATTGTGACCATATTGTTTGCCGAAAATTTTGACTCTGTTTACATTGTAAATTAATTAAATCTCAGCTGTGTAAGTAATTCATATTTATACAATTTAACGGTTTTTATATTTACGATCATTATAATATAATTTACTAGTGTTCCTTTAAATATATTTTTTCCAATGAATGATTTATGACTTTTACTAATGTAGTAAACATATATTTTAACAATTTGGTTTATCTACTAAACTCGTTAATGCGTCTAAAAGTGTTTCCCATATATATTGATATTATACCATGGTATAATAAATTGATATTTTTCTAATTAATTGATTTTGCATTGTTCAATTCTTTTCGAACAATTGACTTGATTATATCATAATTTACATTGTGCAATATTCATAAACATGAACTTGACTCACTTTACAGTTATGTTTAGCCCGTCTACTCAAGTTATATTGAATATCCAATTATAAATTATAATAAGGCTAAGAACTAACGTTCCCGATACTCGTGGTGACAACGAAAAGCAATTTACTTAATAATCAATCTATTTAACATCAAATGACAAATAATGTTAGGTGTATTCAATTTTTTTGTAAGAGCATTTTCTTTAAAAAATATATACAAAGTAATTCTTTTAACGTTGGCCACTCGATTTATCGTAAAATAATAATTATGTTAAGAAAATTATTATTGGTAATTTTTAGTTTTATATAGTACTTAATTTATCAGTTATTAATTACTTTTTTAGTTTATCATTTATAAGAATGTCAGTTTTTATTATCGGTAACATAAAAATTTAACTAGCTTATAAAATAGAAAATGACTAGTTATGAAATTATTGATTTCTTTTGGTGTAAGCTAATAAAAAAAAATGTTAAAACATATACAAGTAATTGTTAATTTGAACAATTATATTATTATCATTCAGTCCAGTTATATTAAAAATGAATGATTCACTAAGTTTAATTCTCAGTGAAAAAACTATTCAGGTATTTTTTTGATATAGCCTAATTACATATCGCGGCATCAAAACAAAAGGTTCTATGCCAACATTTCATAGTCTTATAAAAACTATTTTTTGTACGTACACATCTTTTTTAACAATCATACTATAATTAAAAAAATTTTAGTAAAAAATCAAAAAACGTATAATTTATGTATACTATATGATTAAACATTATAGTCATTAAAACAAAAATAGTTCTATGAAAAATAAGAGTTCAAAATTTTACTTACAGAATTTGATGATTACTTATTTAGTTGGACGAAAAGATTTTATTTAACTAAATTTTCGTAGTTCTATAAGTGCATAATTAAAATACATTATAACAAGCAAAGTGTAAACCATTATATTAAAAAATAAAAACACATAATAATGGTACTAAAATATTTATAATATATGATGGAAAAATAATCAAAAGATCCCAACCAATCCTTTGTTAATTGATAAATCATTAATCCTAAAATTGTTATATTATTATTCAAAAATTACAAATTTAGATGTTGGGATGATAGAATTTTTGAAATCAAATAAGTCTAATGCAAAGTCATGGACTTAACTTAAAATTACATCTTTACGTAAGTATCTTTTATCACTGAGTAACTACAGCTATAAGGTAAGTAGAACAAATAATTTGTACTAATTGTGTAATTCTTTAATATTTTCACTTCACCTGTTAGAATTTATTATGATTAACTTTTTCTTAGAATACTAAACATAAATTGCTCTTTTGAAATGATCAATTTCCCACTTCAGGGGTTATTTATACATGAAACGGATTACAAATTGTGCACAGAGACAATTTAATATGTATTAATAAAATACAGTAAAAATAAAAGTTCATTTAATAAAAAAATTAATTGTTCCGAGATAACAAAACAACTGACAAACAATTAAGAAATAATTCATATATTTGTATATTTTCCTGTTTCCTAACAATGAACAGTCGTAACACATTTGGTGGTTGTATTATTGTTATGTTTACATACATAATAGTAAGTAACACATTGTGTTATCTACAAATTTTTGTATACAATAAAAAATATAATAAAATTCATTTTTAATTTTTTTAAATTGCCTAAGGTAAGTTGACAAATAGGGAATATACTTAACTTATTTTATAACTTAATAAACGTATAAAATGCTTTACGGCAGTTTTTAAGGTAACGTTAAAAAAAAAATTTCTTATAACGATTACAAAAATGAACTCTTGTAAAAGGCTTGTGCTGATCATATTATCTAAAATTAAACCCTGTAATAAAAAATAACCAATCGATAATAGTTGTATGTAAAATAGTTTTTTAGAGCAAGGGTCGTCAATTAATATTTTTGAAATGCAATATTGGGATTCTGTAAAATTTTCGCAGGATATCAAAGTTCAAGTTACACGTACTTAACATATAATAGGACACAATAGGTATTATTTTAAAATGTCTACGGGACACATTTGGAAACCCCTATTCGAGGTATTTAAAAGTTACTAATGTAAATTCGGTAAAGCAGCTACGTTCTTTAAACTTAAAATATTTAATAAATGACTCTAGACTTCCTATACCTTCACATTTTGGATCCTAGTAGCATATAACTTTATAATGAATTTCAGGTACCTACCAAAATTTATAAAAAAATTAACAAAAGAATAAGTTAAAATAAAATTAGTTTATACAAAATGATACTTCACTATACCTATAACATATTATGAAATTTTATTTTATACAAGTATATTTAAATTAAAACCACACTTTAGGCTACCATTTGATCGACTCTTCAACCTAATAGTGCGACACAAAGAGCCGTAAAGAGCACTAGATAGTTTGAAATGCTTCTTTAGTATTCTTACTTTATGAATAAATAACTTAAGAATAGTAGTAGCATCGACACTGTTTAAAATGTGTTAAATACGATCAATTATTTCCAATAGTTGAAATCGACAAAGTACTTGGATTTTGATTTTATACATCAGTCTTACGTTACTGTCTAAAGGGGCGTAATTATAGGTCGAAAAAATATCATTTATCAACCACTTAAATCTTTCGCTGTCCTTCAAATTAAAAGGTGGTCAATAATAAATTTTTATTCAATTATATAAGCAAAATATTGTATAATTTAATTTATTAATTCGTTATGTTTATCGATTTAACAATTAACTAAAAAAAAAATTTTTATTGACTGAGAACCACTCAATGCAGATAAGTATATTGTGATTTTCTAATTAAATTTACGTTTGCTTATCGACTGCGATATCTATAGACTACCTTATCTTTCATAAAGAACTATTTATAATCATGTCTTTCCTATTATTACTATACTTATATTGACTACGATTGGTGTGTGTGTCCGCCTCAAGTTGACAACAAATATCACATTTTTATTTTTGTCGTGTTTTTTAATGTTACACTAAGCACTTTAGTAATAATTTTATTTTACGATTTATATTATTCATCGTGGATAAATTTTTAATGAAAGTCCTTATTACTGAAGTAGATACTTTAAATTTAATGATTTTCCATTAATTTTTTAATTCTATTTGTTTATTTTTAATACTTGTAATAATTATTTATTATTTTTATGAAGCCAAATACTGTATTTAATAATGATTTAACATTATGAAAGAGCAATTATAAGTTGTTTGGATGTAATTATCGTTTTTAATTTATTTTTGCTCTACTAGTATAAATGAAAATTTTAAATAGAAGATCAAAAATATAAATATTATTTTTTAATTATTGAAAAATTTGAAATAGTCATTTTTAACACTTTTCTTGTGGAAATATTTTATGATCGATTACAACTTTAGGATTAGTATTTATTGAGTCACATTCATTTTAATACTCTGAGTGGATTTGTAACGCAGGTAAGTACAGCTAGTAATTGTGTTTTTGCACTCTGAACCTCACTGAAATGGGACAAGTATGTAGTAAATAGTCGTCTAGATCGCGAGCGAATTTTTTTGGACTTATTTATATTAGTATAAAACTCAAAACCGATGAAAGGAATTGAGAAACGCTAATAGCCTTCTACAAAAATGTATTAAGTTTTACGACCCCTAAATTTTGGCTTAAATTACGTCCAATTAAGTTTTAATTCTAAACATTTTTATTTTATTTTTATAACTAAATGCTTAACCTTTTTGTTTATTTGAACTTAATAAATAAAATTCATTCGATTTACATGTAATTTAAAAATATTTTTTAATTTTAATATAAATATTATATTTTAATTATTCTTATTTCATAGATTTTCTGTTTGTTCAATATAAAGATCTAGATAATTTACAAAAATAATAATTTTTATTTTATTTTTTTAAGATGAGTAGTATTGCAGTCATGACACTCACAGCTAAAATGAGCTCACTTATTATTCATAGTATATACTTAAAGTTGGATTGGACTTTTTAGTAATGTATAGTAACCTCTCAATTTTTATTTTTGACCTGTAAACGGATCCGCCCTAGACTGTGATTTAAACAAAGATAATGCACGCTAAGCTTTTAACATTTAAACAGATATTCATAATTTCACGAATTCATAGTAAGTATATTTTACACAACATAACATTATGAATATGTGTGCTATTTGAGTACCCTACACACTTATTAAAAATTTGTAAATTAATAATCTTATACGGTTTCTCAGATGAAAAACTGAAAAGGTTTTTATATTTTGAAGTTAAAACTATTCGTTCACTTTGAAAATTGATCAAACTTTTTCGTTTAACGACCTTTCCCCTTATACGTAGCCACCTTACAAATAAAATAGTATACATACACAGCGTTGGTATAGTGCTCATCGACCAAAGTTCAATGCACAAAATTTACAACAATATAATAAATTATCACACGAATGCATGTGTGTGACAGTACAATAACTGGAGAATCAACAATAATCACGTTTTATTTTTACAAAACTGTTGGTTTTACATTAGTTCCTTTATGTTTTATCATTTGACTATATCATATTATTTTAACATACACAATGAAATATTTTATTCATGAATGTTTATTTAGTTTTCACTACGGTTATTCTTTTTGTTATTTATAATTTTGTCTTAAAATCATAATTTTTAAAGTATTTACTGAGAAACAGTTTTTATTAAAGCTGTTAACTAAATGCAGAGCTTTTCACGTGTATTTTTTACCATCGAGGTAAAAATACTATTACCTTGACTGTCTATACGTGCACGTAAAAGGTCGACGATAGTTAATGTGTGTGTATGTGTACAGTCGTGACCGTATGGCTATTTGCCGTATGTCCATTTATTGCCAGCACATCGACGTGATGTAAAGAGAAGAGTGTGAAGGGCTCTACGAGCAGACTAGAACGGTAGCGGTGGTGCGTGCGCAAATCGATCGTTATAGCGGCTTGTTTCACGTGACGGGACGGGACGGCGTCGTCAGCGGGGCCAAAAGTTCGGGTATGCGTATTAATCGGGGCGGCAAGTGGACTGAAAGCGCGCAAACGCCGCCGTTAGCCGCCCGTCAGCAACGGAGACAGCAGCAGCACTAGCAGCAGTAGCATAACGCCGGAACGTCCAGTAGTCGGCCCGTCCACGCGTCCGGTACACACGTCATAGCCGTTGAGTGAAGTCACTCATCGTCGCGGTCGCCGTCTCCCGCACTTCTCTTCGTCCGTACAACGTGACGCTTCAACTGGCTTTGTCGCTTTCTCCTATCTAGGGCCTTCCCCACAAATACAGTTACGAGACCCAGTTGCGCGTCTAAGGGCACGGTGATTGCTGCAAAAACGGCGTGTGGGGCGTCGCCGATCGACATGGAACCCGTCATCACTTCGACGACGTGGGTACGTATATCTTAGACTACAAATGCATCTCAGACCGTATATGTCCAAAACATGGTTTTAAAACTCTTCAGCTCATCAATCCATAAATCTGTAGCTTTTTTCACATACGTGCAACTAAAAAAAAATCGCCATAAAATGTTTGTTGCCAGATAGATGTTCTAAACCCGTGCAAGCCATTTGTTCATTGAAGTTTTGTATACGGCCACGGTTGATTTAAGTGGCTAAGAAAAAATTGTAAATTATTTTTGAAATAAGAAATGTAATTTAACATTGCTGTACTCAAGCATAAAGTTCATTATAATACATGTCGAATATAAGAAAATTTATTGAAAAAAATTAGTATTACTTACATATCAACTAATTACGTAGACTCCAATGGGTACTCAATGAATTACTCATGAGTTAAAATAAGTTTGAATAAACGTCTTCAAATTCTATATTAGTACCTAAGACCTACGCCTTTTCATCATCAATAAAAAACGTAATCAGATTGACCTAGTTAAGTAAATCTAATTGAACATTAATTAATGATTATTATTAAATTATATACCGATCAATTTTTAAATATCATCAAACTCTTTGCGTTTGGAGATTTAAATTTAGACTCTAACTAAAACACACCACAAAATCAATTCATTAATCATCCAATTGAGTAATTACGTATAATAACAATTTTTGCTAAATTTAAGATTTAAGAAAAAATTACATGGTGATTAAATGTATGACTGATCTATTGTTAACCATCATCAGATTTCTTCTAAAATAATGATAATTTTCAGGATTTTATTTTTTAGCTTTATTTTGTATTATTTATTTATAAGTATGTGAATGTGTTAAATATTTTTTAGATCACTTATAAATCAAAAAAAAAAAAAAAATACTGCTAATGAGAGAAAAAAAAATTTCAAAATTATTTCTATTTCAGGAGAAATTAAGTGATCAGCAATAAATAAATCGTTCTATATAAACCCTAAACTCGTTTAAAATTCATTATTGTATAAATAATAACGAGTTTTTCGAATAATTGTAATTTGTAAATATTATTATAAACACAATTAAGTCGTTTATAAAAATGAATGTTTCGAAGTGTTAATAGCGAATTATAATAGTCAAAAATTTGAATCTGGGCCAAAATTTTCTAAACATTCGTCATTTAGGGATCACTTGAATATCTAACAAATTTAATATTGGCATATCATATAAAAAAAACTTAAGTCTTTCTACTCCTTGTTTTTGAAATTCATTTTAATGATTATGATTAGATTGTATTAAAATTTAATGGGGACAAAAATAATAAAAATCCAATTTTAAATAAAATGATTTTTCATTTATTTATTAATACTATTTTTGAATAGCAGAATAAAACGATTAAGTTAAATGACTATAAACCCAATCGTATATTTGTAAATTTACCATATGAATTTTGTTTTGTTTCATCTAAATTGTTTTTCCGAGCTATTTACAATATAAACACATTATCTTTCAATGCATATATTAAATCGTGTAAGTGTTCAACACGCCTAATAATTAAATAACAACGAACGTGTTTTAATATTTAATAATATACAACAAATTGAACTACAATTATAACAGAGTAATTAAAAACTTTCATGATTCACATATTCACACATAAACATTAAAAATATATGCCTTTATTTTATCTGTGTTCTACGGAGTATGTAACGAACAAAGATATTAAACATAATATTGACTTAACAAATATATAAACGTTTTATAAATATTAGTTGGTAATATTTCACCAAAAGAAACATTTTATAATATTTCGTATAATTGATATAATGACAAAATATTTGACTCGAGTACAAAAAGTTTAAGAAAAAATAAGTAAAAGAGAAACAAGAAAATTTAAATATCTTGATATACTGCTTATCAGAATACATTGAAACAATAAAAGTTATTATTTGTAATTAATTTATAATTATTTTTGAGACAATATCTAGTATGGGTTTCAATTTATATTTTACCAATTCGTTTCATAATTAACTTAGCAATGATGAAAGTCATTTGTACACTCACTCAATTTTTTTCACATTTTTTATAGTTTGTAAAATTTCGAATTCTGCATCATTTGAACTTCTTTTTAGCTTATAAACACCATTTGAAATCAATTTTTTATTTAATTTTACCATTCTGTCAAATGCAGATAAGATTTTTTTTGATATATTATTTATATTTTATTTCTTGTTAGTTCGTTAATGTTATGTAACTTTTTCGCATTCATTCCTTTATGAAAATATCTTTGGAGTTAGGATTCCTTTGAAACATTCAATCGTAACATCTTCAATGTAATCATGTTATTAAAATCAACACAATCGAATTAAATTTGTAAGGAAACATCAATTAAATAGATATATAGTATCTAGGTGATTCAATATAATTATGTTTCTCATCAGCAAATAGATCTACGTAATAATTATTATTAAGTTCAGATGAAATATATAGATAATGGAAATTAACTTTCAAATTATTTGTATAAATACTTTTAATTTGTCTATATTTTGTATTATGTCAACAATTTCAAAATTTTTTCAATATTTAGGAGTGATCAGTTAATGTTAAAACTTTCAATGTGTTCAAGGGAATCAATGAATGTCCTTAATAGGTAGAATTAGGTTTTGAATGTCATCCCCATTAACGTGGTACAGCGAAAGATCAAAATATAAAGTACCCATTTACTGGCATATATAAGTACTGACAATACGACAACGCGGAATTGAAGAATAATTGTTTTTATTACATCCCATTAATTTACCACATTCATGATTATACATGAAAGGCAAAATTATTTGATGTTATATGAGGTCGTGATTTCGAAAGTATGAGCTTATTTCACAAGTTCATTTTACGGAAACAAACTCAGCATTTAGTACTATTAAGTTTGAACTAAGACGAAATACATATATTCATTTGAGANGTGAGGTCGTGATTTCGAAAGTATGAGCTTATTTCGACCAACACAAGTTCATTTTACGGAAACAAACTCAGCATTTAGTACTATTAAGTTTGAACTAAGACGAAATACATATATTCATTTGAGAAATACTTTATTTGCACAGTCAATTATTTTTGACGTTCGAGCCTTGTAATCTAAATTTAATTTATTAGCCCAGACACAATATGCAATTTAATTACTTTACATCAGTTCACTGTTAGAGTCGTGTACAGTGGCTTAAAGCCAAAGAAGCATTAAAAAATAAACAAATCCTAATTTATCTTCAACTATATACCCACTCGCGTTAGCTACAACGATGCCAATGCGGTTGAATTCTCATTTTCTATACTATAAAACAAAAACAAACTAGTACACGCACAACTATTAGTAATTCCTCGTTTGCATGTGTTTCTCCACTATTATTCTGTGTAAAAACTATAAAAAGCGTACAACATGCTACTTAGTTTCAACATAATTGATTTTAACAGTGGAAACAACATACTCACAATATGTGTACTTGTATGACACGTGTTCTTTCAAATTTAGTATCACCACTTCAATAAGAGCAAGTCATAATACTCGTATCGAAACACAAAATTGTTCGTTTCAATTCAAGTTATTACTAGTTTTCTTGGCAGAAGAAATACAACATCAGAACTTCCCCATTTAACCATAAATACTTCTAAATGTTAATAAATTTAATAAGGTTCATGAAGAATGTTGTGAAATATAAAACCATGTTAAACTGTATTTTTTAAATTATATTCTTGAAAACTCATTTTGTCGAGCGTTATTAATCGTTTAAAAACCATTACTTATGATCATTAATCTGAACCGCACAGTATGGAACCCCTCCGTGATTTTACTCGGTCAGTGTTTCAATATTTATAAACACATTTCATTAATAAACTCTATAGAAATCGTTTGCCAATACATTCGATCGTTTATCCGCATATATTTAAGGAATTGTAAAAATAATACCTATAAATAAATGACAGTCATCAAATTTCGCATGAATGCCAACATGCCCATTTTTCCATTTAACATTTCGTACTTTTTATTTATAAATCAATTGCCCCTCAGATTGTGTTTTGCAGACGACAAATTATTTAAAATAATTTTCCACGTGGTGACTTCATTGAAGTATATTTGTAATTAATAATTAAATTATCACTAAAATTTTACTCAACCAAAGTTCAGAATAAATTTACGTCAAAAGAAAATTGTAGATACTTCAAATCCAAAGTTAACTAACAACTTATTAAGTTAGTCTTTTATTGAAAATTCTGTAAAATACACAAATAAATTTGATTCAATTTAAGATCAAACTTAAAAAATAATTGTCTTGATAACTAAAATATTATATTTTTATATTATCAATTAAGAAAATTGTATCTGTGAAAATTAATTATTGCTAATCTGTTTAATTAAAATCTTCCAGGTCTTGATTATACCTATTTAGAGTCTCATAACGAAATATCAGAAAATACTGTAATTAATGTTTTAAATACAACACAGATAAAAACTACACGTGATAATAAAATTAATAATAATAATAATATAACTTTGAATTTTTTTAAGTTTTTTTATCAATTGGGCGAAATACAAAGATTTTTTTCTTTGTATTCCTATTACTCGTAGACCTGGTAACCATGTCCCTTTTTTCCCCTATACTTTATCCTTACCTGAAAACTAAATTTATTGAAGAATTAAAAGTTTAAAAGATTGAAAAACAATGTACTCGAACAAATAAATTATTGGAAATATTACTTATTTAATATTTTGTACAATTTAAAAATACATAATTTACGATTAATGTTCAAAAATATAATAGCTATGGCTTTTTGTAAAGCTGTGTTTTTGTAGCAGTATTAGTGTTTCTAGGTATTATTGAACATTTTTGTTTTATTAATATATATTCCTTAAGTACAAAATAATTGTAACTCATCATAATTAAATAAATTTATAAAATTATACTTATATTGAATGATTCACTTTCTTTTTTAATCAATAAATTCAACACAAATTGGCAAGAATTCTTTTCAGA